AACGCAGAAGATCTACAAAATTGTTTTATTGTTTGCCAAAGTATTACATATCATGTAAATCACTTTGACAATAAACTGCTATCTAAGCTTCATCCACAATATAAAGGACAATTCAAAATGTAAACAAATTTATGACCTCTAATGAATATTTCAAATAAAAACGCCTTTTTATATAACTAAAACACCTGAATTACATCAAATCACTATTTACAGATATAAAAATATGTTTTTTTTAAACAACGATGTATCATTTACAATGAAAGGATGTAGTGTCACAGTGTCAAATCATGATTTAGAGTATAAATTGAATTGAACGCTGTTTATTATTTCTTGGAGCTTTGAACTACTGATTTTTATTTATTAGTTGATATATTCAATCAGTTGCTGAAATGACCTATTTGTGTTACAATCTATCATGCATGCCTCATTTTCTGTGTGGAGAAAGGATGAGAGAGTGTGTGTGTGTGTCAATATAACTGTTACCATTATGTTAGACGTCTTGAACAATACTTATGAGTCATATTTCTGAACATTCTAAAGAATCCTTTCGACTTCATTTCAAATGATGCTTGAATACGTTATCAATAGTAAACTTTTAAAAAAAGCAAATAATTATCAATTCATTAGCTTTGTGAATTGACTGCAATCAGACTAGATGGCACAAAACGCTATCTCAAAAGAATAAGCTATATGTTTCTTGACTCGACCTCGCCTTACCCACTTTGTCTACCCATCAGTGCCACATTGTTAATCCTCACATAGGCTGTATTTGTATGAGACTCATTAGCAGAAGTCATCCACGACTCCTGCTACACGCAGGATTCGAACTCAGGACCTTCGGTATGACACCGGTCATCAGTTGGGATGAGCTTGTGAGCTGCCCTCCATATACAATTTTGCTGTTGAGTTCATCATAGAAATTCCATAGGATTCTGAGTGATTTCTCAGGCACACCGTAGTGTCGAAGAAGCCCTCATTATATCAACCTGTTCACAGTATCGAATACTTTCTCAAAGGCAAGGAAGTTGATTCATGGAAGTGAATCCCATCCAACTGATTGTTCCACAATGATCCGTAGTGTCGCGATTAGGTTGGTACACCATCCAATTTTACAAAATTCATCCTAATGATCGCGAATTAGGGCATTTTGTTTAATAATACTCTGTTGTTTCAGCAGTTCGTACACTTACTACCATCTCGTTTCTTTGATAAACTGATGAGGTAAATACAAAAACCTTTCAAAATTATGTTCAAACGAAGATCTATTTATGACAGTATAAAAGAATACATAAAATAGTAGTCAGATATTCTATTGGTCAATATATATGCGTTGTTGTTTACGAGCATCAACAAGTGAATAAGCAAGGTCATGTGAAATATCTACTTCATTCATTTTGAATTGTTAAACAATCATTCACTAGTTTGAGTAGAGCGGGATTTTCTAGAGCAGCTGCAACACGTTCTTTATCAGCAAGTTGTTTGTTAATTTCATCTTCTGAATTATGTGTACCAGGTTTCACCTTGACTTCAATCTATGGTAGAAAAGAAACAAGAAAAACAATAATGGAAAAAGTCGTAATCCTACCCAAACACTTACGCCTGTTATTCTCCGTACAGCATAGGCCGGGAGAAAATGGAGGTTGGGACTACGTCAAAGTCATTAGTTACAAACAATGCAAAATCCGGTATATGTATTTCTACTAGTTCAAGATGGTACTACAACTCTGTGTCAAAACATAAAGACGAAACTTCGAAGCATTAACTATATCAATGAAAGTAGAAAGTATCGATGCTAGTTTCGTTGGGACGTACAAACACTAAGTATCTATCAGACTGCTTGGGAAACAATCAATTACTTACCTAGTTTCGACTACGCAAGAAAATCTAGTTGAATGGGAAGAGTCGAACATCATATTATGTAACATTCCTTACGATAAACACCAACGATTGAAAGAACATCTTATAAATAATTTCCCGGACTTAAAATTGAAGGAGTATAAGCTAGTTAATTAGGGATTTTTACACAATGCTGTAATATTCACTACACAAGCTGAAAACTGATACCATTACCATGATTGTCTATGACCAAAGTATAGCGAACCAATAATCAATCAGTTACAACGTAGAACTTCGTACGTAAGTAAACAAGTTCAGGCTGCAATACCACATTAGCATACAGAAGCAATTGTCAGTTCGAGGACATTATTCAAGAAGTATATTCCAGTGAGATGACTTTAGAAAGAAAGAGAAAGATAGAGGTAATGAGGAATTCTGATGGTTAGAATTTGACATAACTCAAATAATGGATGCACCATTGCGCCATTGCAAACGATTTTGAGCCATGTCATTCAAGGTCTCTAACAATTAGTTACTATCATCTCGTGGATTCCAACCAGGTAGTCTACATTTGCCAACATGACTGTTATGCTCGTCAATTGATACGATTGAACTATTACGAGTTTACCTTAGTCGGTAAAGAGAGCGAAGACAAATGACCCAGTGACACGATAAGCTACTCTAATCCGAGCGACCCAAGGCACCACTAAGTAGAAGAAGTCTTGATATGGTGTAGAAAGTGTATTATACAAGCACCCAGAAAATATGAAGTCTTTGTACAGCAGAAGAAGAAGGATAATAAAACTTTACAAACAATGCATATTTATACAGTTAGGTCGATCTTGAATACTAACCAACAGGAAACGACTTTTAAAGTATGTGAACTTGATAGTTAGGACAACCTTAAATATTGACCAATAGAATTACACCCAAAAAATAATATCTTTAGGATATCTGATGAATATCCTAAAACTGACTCAGTCCACTAGTGCCATATTTCGATTTGATCGCCCACAGCTTTCTCCTAACCTATTCCGACACTACAAAACATCGCTCGTCGAGGAAGTCAGAGGTCGGACATTCGTAAAACATGTCCCAACCACCTCAACTGATGAAGCTTCGATACTTCATCTAATGATTTGCCATCTCTGCCTAGTACTCGTTTCCTAATGACAGCATTGCTTACTCGCTTGACTCAGGATATACGAACAATGCTTCGAACAAATCTATAATCGAACACTAATAACATTCGAATATCTTCAATGCTTACCAGCCATGTTTCGCAGCCATATAGTAGGACGACATCTCGCCTACGCCATACGTGACGCAGATTGGCGGAAGTCAATCGAGCCTTCTATATCCGTGCTCAGATTTCGTCAGTCATCAGGCCATCGGCACTGATGAGACTCCCAAGATAAGTGAAGCGGTCTACACGTTCGACTATTTCACTCCCTATCACTAGTTCAGGTGCCGATGCAGCCCAGTCTTGAAGCAACATTTTGCATTTCGACGGGGAAAACCGCATACCGAACACGCTTGCATTGTTGCTTAGGGCAGTCAGAAGAAAATGAAATCATGAATATTAGGAAAATTAAAATAAAAATGATGAGCGTTTTGCAGAGCATACAAACGATGAGATTACACAAAAAATGAGCCTATTTTAGATAAATCAAACACAGTGTATAGATGTACTTGTTCTTCTCAGTATTTTAGATACTTTTTATGACAACCAACAGTGTGAGAGGTGATAACCAGCTGAAATTGTTTCTAAGTCTGTTTAAACAAAATAAAATACCATGAATTGCTTTTGTACTACTGTAGTGAACGAGAACACAGGTGGGGTAACCGAGTTGTATTTAACGAAAATTACAGAGTTACTCAGTAAAATTGGAAAACCATATCGTAAATCATTAATTTGCAAAATATCAGTCCATCATATCGAACTGGACTGTTCCTGTTGCAAAACATCAATCCATTGTCACTATTCATGCGTTTCATACAAATTCCATTGTGTTCTAACTCTTCCTTTCTTGATCTTCCCCCATCTTCTGATGCCAGACATCACGTTGACACTCACGTCATATACTACTTATAAGTAGCTCGCACCACACTACTACTAATAAACAAACAGTCAAGTAAGAATAATAATGAAAAGTCGAAAACAACAACTTTCCCCAAGTCACTGAATTTATTGAACAATAAATGATACAGAGCAGATAGTTAACAGAATGTGACACGAATGCATGATATGGTTAAGATCCGAATTGAGCTGCATCATTTGGTTCTTGAACATTCGCTTCATGTATTCGTCGTTCTAATGTATCCAATGTCTTGTTCATCTAGAAAAAAAACAGAGAACAGCAGTGACAGAAAACACTGTGTGTGGATGATATCGATTAGTTTTGGGGCAAAGTTTCAAAACTCAAGATCGAATGGAAGATGAAAGCAGAACCCAATATGTGCTATTGTGATCAATTTTTAGCCATTTCTACTCAACAGCAACCGCTGGTCACGATAATCATGTCCATACTAGCAAACATGCATCACAGACCAACAGTCACAGATGTTATGGGCTGATGTCTCGTTACAGTACAATCGACTTCAAGCTTTCGGCTTACCTACGGCTACGCGCCAATTAGTACCGTGCGTCTAGGGAGGGGCAATGGTTGGGCAGAATTAATTTTATACCTTAATCACTTTGAACTAACCTGGTTAAACAAGAGATTGAAAAATAGCTAGATTGGTAAAATTATAAAAATACTATGATTTACATAGCCAGTACAGAGGACAATCAATTTTATTGTCACACATAATATTTAAGACCAACATATGACACAATTCAGTCAACCATTTTACATAACATAATAAATAATTTGGATTATTGAAGATTCTTTTTGATTCTCTTTAACTTGTCTTAGTTATGAATATTGGAACATATGAAAATGAAAGTACTGCTTCGATTGTTCTCTATCTTAAACAGCATGAAAACTAACTATTGTATGGTATGATAATGTTGAATGGTGCTCATCCGCGCCAGCATATCTGCGTCAGATTCACTTTGTTTATCAATGATGCTGCCCAGATATCTAACGGTTTCCACCGCCTCCAATCATAGTTATACAGATAGCTAGTAGAGACATCATTTGATCTGCTTGTTTATTAACATATTCTTTTAAATCAGCGCGTTGGGATATGAGACCTATTGCACGTGATTTATATGATAAGGTAGCCAGTAATGTAGATACAGCATTGTGATACAAGCGCATCATCATGAAAGAAAATCCAACATAGTAACCAGTTGTAATATGACAAGTAGGTACTTCATGATACATTTCCTAAGAGTATGGATAATGGACACATATATTCAAAGTGAGATGAATAAAACTCAAACAAATATCTTGGTATTAAGAAAGAGAAGAAAGTATACAACAACCATTAAAGCGAGGTAGACAAATTCATACTCAGCAGATACGCTATCAACTAGACCTAGGATTGCTGTCAATTTCAAACGAAACGAGTTGAAGGCATACATTAAAGTCACTAAAAGCAATAGGCGACAGCTAGAAACGGGAGTCCCAGAGTTAGTAACTAATGCGCCGTATGAAATTCACTGGGATAACATTCATTGTACATGTCCAGGTCACCAAAGTAGGTCATAAAAGATTGTGGCGACAAATGAATTTACGGCCACTGTGCCAAAACACACGTTCACGAACTCCTGGGAGTGCCACAAAGTGTCAGTAACCCTTTGGATAGTCAATGTTTTATAGGCATTGAGAAAGATCGCTCTCACCAATGCTTCATAGATTCGACTTTTTACAACCAAGCTAACATCACAAAGATGCCAAAGATAGTTCAAAATGAAAGAATGCGCTCCGGCTCTAACTATATTTGAATTGATCTCATCACCCACAACACACAGTAGTTACGCAACTATCCACATAAACGAATTTTCCGACTTCCATCTGCTTACTACTGTGAGTGAGTGCAGGTTACGGATTCTGTCAACCTCGCAAAAGAAGTTTGCACTTACAAGGTACAATGCACACATCATGTTGAAGGACATTAACTGTCAACTGAATACGTGCTGACTGAATGACTTGGGTATTATCGTATAGTAAGTCAACATCATCCATATACTCAAATTTGAAAAGTTTTCCTTCAGAAAACAAATCCAAACCGCCATTACCCTTTTCCATCGGAACTATTTCCAGATAGACATTGATAGTAAAGTCGAAGAGGAGTGCTGAGATTGGGAAACCGTACCTAACCCCACTGACTGAATGAAATAATTGAGAGGCTCGATAAAATATTGTCGATCGTCCTACAGCACATGTTCAGGTTCAGACCAAGCTCTAGTACAAGTGCACATCCGTCAGCGTCTTACTGGACGTAGAAAAGACAGAGTAAGGAAATCCCCTACAGTTTCACTTAACGATAGCAAAGCATAGAGTATATTTCATTAACAACTAGAAAAACGGTTTCGTCACCATCTAAGCGATTCCCATCCGGAGGCAGCTTGGAATGATAGCCGAAAAGATTGTGGAGACATCAGTGATATTTGCAAGTAAGGCAAATCGTAAGGTTAGGGAAAATCAGTGGATATCGGTAGCATGTAAAGAACTGACAGACGTTCGCCAACTCAAGCCGCCTAGACCTGAACATGATGAGGAACGGAGACAGATTAAACACAAACTGATAAGAAGATAATGCAATGACTGCGAGTAGCGGTGGGTAGCGAAAGCAAAAGACATGAAAAAGGCGGTGGCGATAGGCAACAGTAGACAACATTTCAAAGGAAACCGGTAGTAGAAATCCGACTGTTAGTGACATTATTTAGGAAAAGGATGGGACTATCATTCATTCCGAATCCAGGAGATTGAATCGATGGACAGAACACTTAAGTGATCAGATCAATTGGCCTTCAGCCACATTTCACCTATCCACGATCTCCAGTCAACCTTAATGGCAAGTTGATGTAAGTCGTCCAACTCTTATTGAAGTTGAGAAAGCAGTAGGAAATCTGAAGCTAGGTAAAGCAGCAGGTTCTGATAGGCTAACTCCTGAGATTTTTAAGGATGGTGGTCCAGCTTTAACAGTTAGATTGTCTCAGAACTTAGGTAGAATCTGAGAAATAGACGTAATCCGACCTAAAGGTCTTAATCCTGATTGTCCCGATTTATAAGAAAGGAGAAAAGTTCTCTTGTGAAAATCACAGGGGAATCAGTCTAAATTGTTAGCTTCGATTATAAAGAGACACCTAACCAGAGTTCGTGAAGAGCGGACTAGAGAAAATCAGGCTGGTTTTCGAACTGGACGTGGCTGTATAGACCACATTTTCACACTAAGACAGGTCCTGGAACACAGACACACATTTAGGCGTCCTACAATAGTTGTTTTCCCGGACCTAAAGGCGGCATTCGACTCAGTGGATCGTGAGGTTCTGTGGCAGTGTCTGTCATTGAAAGGTGTACCAAAGAAGTACATTAACCTTATACATTTCCTCTACTCAAACACTACTGGCCGAGTCAGAGATTATGGTGAACTGTCGTCGGAATTCTCTACTTCAAGTGGTGTCCGTCAGGGATGTCCACTTTCCCCATTCTTGTTTAATTTTGTCATAAACATGTTTCTAGATATAACCTTATCGTCATCTGAATTTTCAGGAGACCTTCTACTAGGAGGCCCACTTATTGACTTAGAATATGCCGATGACATAGTTCTATTTAGCGAAGATGAGACGAAATACAGTCTTCTGACCACCCTAAGCAACAATGCAAGCGGTTCTCCACCTCAAAATCCAAAATGTTGCTTCAGGATTGGCTTGCGTCGGGAGTGAAGTTATTGAGCGTGTCGGCCGCTCAACTTATGTTGGCAGTCTCATCAGTGCTAATGGCCTAATGTGCGACGAAATCTTAGCACGGATGCAGAAGGCTCGACTGCCTTTTGCCAATCTGAGTCACTTATAGCGTAGGTGGGATATCCATTTGCTAACCAAAGGACGAGTGTATTGTGCAGCAGTTCGCTCCGTCCTACTATACGGATGCGAAACATGGCCGGTAACAGTTGAGGATATTCGTAGGTTGCTTGGTTTCGATCATAGGTATCTTTGAGGCGTTGCTCGTGTATCCTTGGACAAACGAGTGAGCGATGTTATGGTTAAGAACCGAATACTAGGTAGGGAGAGCAAATCAATAAACGAAGTAATGAAACTTCATCAGTTGAGGTGGTTGGGACATGTGTCGCGAATTCCCAACCACCGACTGTCTTGACGAGCTGTGTTTTGTTTTGGAGGAGTAGGGTGGAAAAAATCTAGGAACAGTCAGAACAAAATATGGCACAAATACACGTAGTCACTGACAACTGGATTGAGTCATGTTGGTAGATATAGACTGACTAGATGGGATCCGCGAGATGATGGTAACTGATTATTAGAGACCTTGAATGACATGGCTCAAAACCATTTGCAATGACACAGGTGCATCCATTCTTTATCTTCTCTTAAATTCTAGTCTTCTGAATTCCACATCACCTTTGTCTTTTTCTTTATAAGTTTATTTCATTAGATTGTAATTCTTGAAAAATATCTTCGAACGCGAATCTTCTCATTACTGCTAATATTTCTACTAACTCTACTACCATCGGATTCGAATTGACAATTCAATCTCTGTGATAATGTGTTATGGCAACTTGAACTGATTTACGTCCGTACAAAGTTCGACGTTGTAGATGACTGATTGAAGTGGTCAGCAGTATTAGGAGTAAGGCAGATACTTTCATAAATTAACTCAATAAATCAGTAATCCTATTGACGAGTGGGCATACAGAAATCGGAGTTCAAACAATAGTGAAATAGAGTAAAACAACTTACAAGACGATTAAATTTAATATTCTCCAAAACTTTAATGGCTGTATAATAATCACCCAATAAACAGTGTAATCGACAAAGTCCAATAAGACTGAAGAATCCGAGCATTTTATAAAGTACGCAACGACCAAACTCGTCTGCAATGTCATCCGGATCGCCTGAAAATAAGCACAAACAACACAACGGTGTGCAGTTATGTATATTACTTGAACGCCTGATATTGACTTTTTACACTCAAGTTCAAATAGTAGACGTGCAGATGCTGTACTACGAAATTCACTGATGTGAAGGCGACTAGCTCATCTATTTGTCCATCTTAACCTCCTTGAAGCTTCTGGATATACTGTAAATTTCACAAAGTAATCGCCCAATCGAATTTCCACATATACTTGCTACTTCCTCCAAATACTTTTGGGACGTTTCGACTTGATGCTGACTAGGAGAGATGTTTTTAGTCTTTTCCTAACTTTTAGGAGCTAAACCAAGGAACTCTTAGGGTCTATTAACAAGAAAAAAGGTTATACTTAGGGTAGTAGTTCTTTATAAGGTTGCAGCATAATTTTTTAATGATCGAATATCGATAATGTAAGCTGCTCACTTAGTCAATTAATCACTAACTGACCAACCACTTGATCTAGGTTTGACTATCAATAGACTTTTTGTGTAATGTATCTACAATTACATTGTAATTCTATTGTATTTACCAAATACTTTAACAATTCGCAATATAGTATATTAGTAAAGTCAAAGCATTTTACACTACTACTTATATATATTTGACTCTTGATTATATAGTGTGGTTTAATCATCCATCGACATTCTGTTTAGTTCTAAACGTGTCTCCACTGTAAATAAATGATAACCTAAAGTAGAAAAATCATAGTGATTAATTTTTCTGAAGACTGAATGAAAAACCTACAACAGTGAGGATTGTTCATAATTCCGACGGAAAAACAGAAGCCATAGGATCTGATAGTAACTCAGAAAAAAATGTAACTAACCTTGCTTAGCATAATAGCTTAGTAGCTCATTTATATTTGATTTGGCAACCAGAGAGAACAGAACATTCAAAACACTATGAATACTCCATATTTTTGGGTTTTTTAAAAGTTGCGCTTCATCTTCGGGCTAGAGTTTTAACCGACTGCGAAAACTGCAGAACTTTTGGAACTGATAAAGAAATTCGTCTATAATTTCCCACAACCATTGATTAGGAAGAACCAAATTGACTGGTCGTTCAGCAACTATAACGAAATATTACAATATACATATACGTAAAAACGACAACAGTAGCCATCTCAGGGTTATTAGTGGTCTAAAGTACGGATAAAGGAGGAGGGTTTAGCATAGAGTTAGCGACCCCATCTCGTAGAAAACCAACTTGCTAAAAAACGCTAATCAGTAAGAAGTCAATCAAACCACTCTACCCGTGCCCTTGGAATTAGGTCTTCATTTAGAAGAGTAGTGATGTCTCATGTTAAAGGCCAAGTTTCTCAATTAACCCATCCCACAAGCGGAACACTTATTAAGACATGTACATGGAATGTTCGCACAATGTGAAAGACTAGAAGAACCACTTGCTGAGGAAACGCAAAATTATAAGCTAGTGGTGCTTGGAATAAATGAAACACATTGGATGCTGGTTAGACAAAAAAGAGTAGCTCCAGGCGAAATGTAGTTGTATTCAGTTCATGAAGGTGAAAAAACCTACCAATCAATCAATCAAGCAATAGCAACGTAGAACTTCGTACCTAGGTACGTCAGTTCAAGTTGCCATAACACATTAGCAAAGAAATGTAATTGTCAATTCAAATCCAATAGTAGTAGAGGTAGTAGAAGTATTAGCAGTGGTCGGAGAGGTTAGGATTAGAAGATATTATGGAAGAAGTACAATCTTGTGAAAAAAGACTTAAAAAGATAAAGTGATAAAGAATTCAAAAGTTTAGGATTTGAGAGAACACAAAGAGTGAATGCACCTACGCCATTGCAAACGGTTTTTAGTCATGTCGTTCAAGGTCTCTAACCGTTGGTGACTATCGTCTCGCAGACCCCAACCAGGTAGCCTACATCTACAAACATGACTCAGTCCACTTGTCAATGACTTCATGGATTTCTGCCATGTTTTGGTTTGGCCGCCCCTAGCTTTCTTCCAACCTACTCCTACACCACAAAACATAGCTCGTCGAGGCAGTCGGTGGTTAGGCATACGTAACACATGCCCCAACCACCTCTGCCATCCCCACCAAGAACTGGTTTCCTAACGACAGCATTTCTAATACGGTTGTCGCAGGATACACGAGCAATGCTTCGAAGACACCTATGATCGAAAACCAGTAACCTACGGAAGTCCTCTACTCTTAACGGCCATGTTTCGCATCCGTACAGTAGGACGGAGCGAACTGCTTGACAGTACACTAGTACTTTGGTTAGCGAACGGATATCTCGCCTACGCCATAAACGACGTAAATCGGCAAAAGCAAATCGAGCTTTCTGTATCCGTGCTGAGATTTCGTCAGTCAACAGGCTATCAGCACTGATAAGACTCCTCAGATAAATGAAGTGATCAACATGCTCAACTACTTCACTCCCTATCACTAGTTCAGGTGCCGATGCAACCGAATCTTGAAGTAATATTTTGCAGTTCGGGGGGAAACCGCATCCCGAACATGCTTGCATTGTTGAGTGGAGCTCAAAGAAGCATTGACGTCAACGTGTGTTAAGGTTTACAGTCACAACAAGCACCATCATTAGGAACGGATCACTGCTAATACACTGGATAAGATTCAAGAAAGGAAGAACAAGAAGACAGAAATGAATAATAGTCAAACAGGAGCTGAGAAAGCCAAGACAAGCTGGAGACACAGAAGCAAACAAGCTAGTGAATGTTAGCAACGGAGCTGAAAAACTGATGTGGAAGATCCAGCAATGACAGTGAAAAGCGAAAGGAAAAGATGTACACTGAGAAACACATAGGGCCGAGAATTGGAGACAGACATGAAAAGAATGAGTTTTGATTAGATAGAACTGGAAGGGAAGGTCCAGGACAGAGTAGCTTGGAGACTCCGGATCTACAGCCTATGATTCATGAAGCATAACAGGTGTAAGTATATTTATATGAACCAAAACTGATAACTAAAACGGGGACTGTCGCTGTCAGTCAGTCTCAACAAAGAACATCAGTTCAAATTGCCATACAATTAAAACCTATGGTAAAGGTAGTAGCAACACTACTAGCAGTGGAAAAGATTAAGGATCGAGTATATGAATCGAGAAGCTTCAATTCAATGAAATAAATTTTAGAGAAAACGGATAAATAATTTGAGTTCGCGAACTTAGAACATATAGTGGAACAAAGAATAGATGCGCTTGCCCCCTCGTAAAGGATTTTCGATAATGTCATTCGAAGAAAAGAACATACGTTCCAGCCAATATAGCTCGGTAGGATCATCACGATAGAAAAGCCCGACCACCACTTTAACGTAGCTGGTATGGTGGGGAGATTTCCTAGTCCATGACTCAATGTATTCGCATCAACACCCACCAGTCATGTAACCTCGCAAGAGACGATTAAACGTTCCAGTTACTGCATTATATAGAAAACAACCAACATTGAAAGCATATTTAACTATGGGATACAACAGGGTAGCAGCTCACTTTGAATCCAAACTTCAAAATCCCCAAGTTAGTATCCACATATTTTATGCTTTAAAATGTAAGAATTCATGGTTTCCAAAATCACACCAACCTATTACTATTGCTTTTACTTCTGTGGTGAAACAATATAGACATTTCAATCTTCCGAGGTATGAGGGCCGATACGACAAGCAGAGGATGTCTGTTATAGCAGTAACTATTGAAGATGATGCAAACCACTTACATATTATCATGCTGTTAGCTATACCTCAGGAAGTGACAACAGAACACAAAACGCTGTCGAAAATTCCGAAATATAAGGTCAGGTAGAATGAGCATTGCAGAGGCCTTCATCTAACCATGTTAACTTGTCGGCAGAGATGAGAGCCGCTTCTATTCTTGATATACAAATATCCCATACACAAAACTCTGTTTAGGCGACGTCGACATTGATCTCCAACCCCTGCACGGCAAAACGATGACACCAGCACACATGCAACAGTTTCACCCCGACCGAAGCTGCTACCTTGACGTGGTGGTCGGGCTTGCCTATCGTGATGACCCAACCGAGCTATACTGGCTGGAACATATGTTCCTGCAGGTCCTACCATGCCAGGCTGGTCGATTGGAGAACGATGAGACTAAAAGCAGCTACCCAAGGTCTCAGGGCGAAGTCGTACTGCTGACTGCAGAGGGGTGTGACAGCAGTAAGGTGTTTCCCTCGGACAACCAGCATCTGCAGCGATGCTGCCTTCTCACAAGGAAGGAAGGGTTAGAAAAGGTCGGCCCTAAAAATGTCACACTCCCCCTAACTCACGGATTTCCGTCTCCTTGGGTAAGGGTGCCCACTAAGGGCCTTTAAGAACGGAGCTAATCCTCAAAAAACGTTTCATAAAAAGGCCGTGCGTGACCGGCCTCAAGCAGTTGTCCCTCGGGCTCTGCGGTCACGCACCAACACTAATCCATCTTCCTTTTCAGGTCCCTCAAGAAACAACCTTCCACGGTGTGGGCAGCCGGGAAGTGACAACCGCCCTCATACCCGTAACAGCACGCGAGACCAAATTGGTCAAAATCAAATCCTTCCTACACCCCCTCATGTCTCTCTTATCTCTACGACTAACTGTACTCACACTCCCTTTTCTCACTGCACCGCTAACGCAGACGAAGCGAGATCACGAAACGTCGTTCCTGGTCTCTTGAAACCCCGTTCTAGACTACATATTGGAGCTTTTAATGTACGGACATTGTGTCAAATAGGGCAACAGGCATCATTAGCTAGGACTTTAGAAACTCGTGCCATCGATGTATGCTGCGTCTCGGAAACGCGCATACAGGATCCTAGTAAAGTCATTAACCTGATTCCACCTTGTCAAAACGAAGTAGCAGCTCGATTTACTCTCCGGGTATCCGGTAGCCCTGATGCTGCTTCCAGGGGTCTTGCTGGCGTAGGCATAGCGTTGAGTCCTAGGGCAGAATTATCTCTCCTAGACTGGATCCCAGTAGATAGTCGTTTGTGCGCTGTCCGACTAAACGGGACAGTAAGGACTCGTAAGGATAGGGACACTCGCCGTTGCCTCTTCGTCATATCAGCCTATGCCCCCACTGACTGCAGTGCAGACGAGGTTAAAGATGAGTTTTACAGAAAGCTTTCGGACCTCCTCCAAAAAGCTAAGCGCTCTGACATAGTAATAATGGCTGGTGACTTTAATGCTCAAGTAGGTAGACTAGGTGAAAAGGAAAGACATCTTGGTGGGTGTTATGGTGTAGCGACTGAGAGAACAGACAATGGTGACCGTCTGTTGCAACTATGCTCAGATAACCGCCTATTCTTAGCGAACACCAACTTTAGGCATAAGGAAAAGCATCTGTTGACCTGGCGACCTCCAAAGTCGTCTCAACGTTGGACTCAACTAGATCACATCGCCATCAGCCACCGATGGAGGGGTTCGATAGAAGACTGTCGCTCGTTCTGGAGCACATGTTTGGATTCAGATCATGCTCTAGTGCGAGCTCGTATCTGTTTAAGGCTTACTGGACGTAGGAAAGACACCGTAAGAAAGCCTCTCAGGGTTTTACTTAATGATAATCAAACCAAGAAAATATTTCAGGAGCAACTAGGGAGAGAGTTAAGCAACCATGCAAGCGATTCCCATCCAGAAGCAGGTTGGTATGATATCAAAAAGGCTGTGGAAACAGCAGTGATATCTGCTAGGAAGGTAAACCATGAGGCTAGGATGAAGCCGTGGATTTCAGTCGCATCCACCGAACTGATGGATGCTCGAAAACGCATCCCACCTGACTCTGAGCATGATGAAGAGCGTAGTCAGCTTAGGCGCAGACTTATAAAAAGTCTGCGTAACGACCGCGAACAGTGGTGGGTGGCGAAAGCAAAAGCGATGGAAAAGGCAGCGGCGATAGGCAACACTAGACAACTTTTCCGCCTTATTAAAGAAACCGGTATTAAGAACCCGAATGTGAGTGAGACTATCTCGGAAAAGGATGGTCTTATTATCCATTCTCAATCCAGGAGACTGGATCGATGGGCAGAACACTTTAGGGATCAGTTCAACTGGCCACGAGCCACTCTTCGGTTACCCACGATCTCCAGTCATCCTGAATGGCACATCGACGTAAGTCCCCCTAGTCTTAATGACGTTGAGAAAGCGTTAGGAAATCTGAAACGAGGACGAGCTGCAGGTCCTGATAGACTGACCCCTGAGATATTTAAGGATGGTGGTCCAGTTTTAGCAGCTAGATTGACTGAGATCTTAGGTAGAATCTGGGAACTGGACGTAATCCCATCCGACTGGTCTCAATCACTGATTGTCCCAATCTATAAGAAAGGACAGAAGTCTTCTTGTGACAATCACAGGGGAATAAGTCTAACTAATATATTATCGAAAATGTTGGCCTCAGTAATACTTCGACGTTTAACGAAAGCTCGTGAAGAGCAGACTCGAGAAAACCAAGCTGGTTTTCGACCTGGACGTGGCTGTATAGACCACATCTTCACACTCAGACAGGTCCTGGAACATAGACACACATTTAGGCGTCCTACAATAGTTGTTTTCCTAGACCTTAAGGCGGCATTTGACTCTGTTGATCGTAAGGTTCTGTGGCAGTGTCTGTCATTGAAAGGTGTACCACTGAAGTACATTAACCTTATACAAGCTCTTTACTCGAACACCACTGGTCGGGTGAGGGCTTATGGCGAACTGTCACCGGAATTCTCTACATCAAGTGGTGTCCGTCAGGGATGTCCACTTTCTCCATTCTTGTTTAATTTTATCATAGACATGCTCCTAGAAATAACTTTATCCTCGTCTGAATTTTCAGGAGTAGACCTTCTACCAGGTGGCTCGCTTATTGACTTAGAATATGCCGATGACATAGTCCTACTTGGTGAAGACGCTGACAAAATGCAGAGTCTTCTGACTACCCTAAGCAACAATGCGAGCATGTTCGGGATGCGGTTTTCCCCCTCGAAATGCAAAATGTTGCTTCAAGACTGGGTTGCATCGGCACCTGAACTAGTGATAGGGAGTGAAGTAGTCGAACGTGTAGACAGCTTCACTTATCTTGGGAGTCTCATCAGTGCCGATGGCCTGGTGACTGACGAAATCTCAGCACGGATACAGAAAGCTCGATTGGCTTTTGCCAACCTGCGTCACTTATGGCGTAGGCGAGATATCCGTTTGCTGACTAAAGGACGAGTGTACTGTGCAGTAGTTCGCTCCGTCTTACTTTATGGCTGTGAAACATGGCCAGTGAGAGTAGAAGATATTCGTAGGTTACTGGTTTTCGATCATAGGTGTCTTCGAAGCATTGCTCGTATATCGTGGGACACCCGAGCGAGTAACGCTGTTATTAGGAATCGGGTGCTAGGTAAGAATGGCAGATCAATCGATGAAGTATTGAAACTTCACCAGTTGAGGTGGTTGGGACATGTGTTGCGTATGCCCAACCACCGACTGCCTCGTCGAGCCTTGTTTTGTATTGTGGGAATAGGTTGGAAGAAAGTTAGGGGCGGCCAGACCAAAATATGGCAGAAATCCATGAAGTCATTGACTAGTGGACTGAGCCATGTCGGTAATTGTCGACTACCTGGTTGGGGTCCGCGAGATGATAATAATCGATGGTTAGAGACCTTGAATGACATGGCTCAGAATCGTTCGCAATGGCGCCAGTGCATTTATTCTTTGTGTTCTCTCAAATCCTAATCTTCTGGATTCTTCAACACCTCTAGTTTTGACTTCCTAAACTTTTCTCACTGAATCATACTTCTTGAATAGTATCTTCTAATCCTAACCTCTCCGATTATTTCTATTTCCCTTACTACCTCTTCTACTATTGGATTTGAATTGACGATTACTTCTCTGTGCTGATGTGGTATGGCAACATGAACTGATGTACTTATGTACAAAGTTCTACGTTGCATCTGACTGACTGGCAACAGTTTCACATTACTACGAAACTCTCACAAAACCTATCGGATCAAAAACTAACGAGGCAGCATAGTTAAGGATGACCATCCATCCACTCCTAGTCTTCTTTATCCGCTCTCGAAGTGGACAGATTAAGACGATGTATTTAATTTTTAATCCTCATAATGAAAATTATTACAACTTTGGAAATACCTAGATCATTGAAGGACACAATAAACCTAGTTGCAAAAGAGGAAACAGCATGGTGCATTGAAAATCTATGATCGTGCATGGAACATAGGACAATAAAACAGACTTAATAACAGGTACCAGTTGGTCTGCTTGATCTAAGTTTGAGCCTAGTTACATAATTCAAACTTTTATTCTACGAAGTGAACTTTATTCTGATTTCAGTCATCTATTGTAAGTACAAAATATTGAAGTTACCAACATGGAAAACTCACTCACCCAGGAGAGCGTTAAATAAAGAGACATAGTTTAGGTATGACTGAATCCTATCTTCAACTGTCAAACTACTGCTCATATGAGCGTATATGTGTCGATAGTAAAGTTCGTTGTACAGCATGAGAAAAAGTGGGTCTATTGATGTTAAGGCGAAAAAAATAACGGCATTACCATCAACAATCTGTTTAATAATATCCAAATTTGGCACATCTGGTGGTCATGAAATACTGCTCTGTCAATTTAGGAAACCTGTTTTCATTTGTTTACTTGTTTCAACTTACTTCACCTGAGTGTCCTTTTCAATCTCCACAACATTTTGTTCTTGTATGTGGATATGCAAATCGATGATGAATGTTCGAACATCATCACGAAGTGAAGAATACCCATCTGAATATGATTTGCTCATTACAACGCGCGTTACACCGCCAACTTTTAATAGCCCTCAGCTACCAATGTCCCAGCCAATATCCAATATCTTTTTCACGAGCTAATGTAAACCAATTTGATTTCTTCGCGCTCGATTCTTGTTCTTTCGGTACTATCACATGTGTTCGGTAATGTTCAATGGATGGACGTCTAGCCACTCGACTGTATTATTCCAGTCAGTTGGCATTAGGTTATGATTTTGTATGTCTCGGGATTTGAATGAATCGTTTTTTTCAGTGCAGTAGGTTTCCTGGATACTAGCAGCCATCACATTACCAAACCGGAGATCAGTTAGTTGCAATGTGGAGAGTAATAAGGGTAATAAGGGTAAATTAAAATGATAATATGAGTAAGATTTCAGAACTGAGTAATATATAGATGAATTTAGTTTATTAATTGGTAGTGAAGATTGTGAGAGAGGACCGAAGTGTAAGCAAGGGAGAGGAATAGGCGAGTTAGATTAATTAAGTGATCTGAGGAGATGGCAATGGTAACAACTAGCAGGTCTCAAGATATGCATCAGGCACAGCTTGTCCAAGAGGGATATGATAATCCGTATGTGAGTACGTGATTATCAAGTCTCTTGTTAAAGCTGTCACTTGAGGGGGCTGCGGTCACTTCGGCTGGGAGAGCATTCCAAGTTTCGACGAATCTTTATGAGCAAAATTGTGCAAGAACCTGAGTATTCGCTCGTTGGTGTGCAATCTTTCAATGGCTGACTCAAAGGGAGTGGTGCTGATGCATCGGTGGAATGCTCACGTTTGCATGGTTGTATCAAGTGCTGTCCAATGGATCCCCCCCCCCCAACAAATTCACTACTGATCTCAGAAAATCGACCATGAAACCTTCTGTGCACCTTCCCCATTTGTACTCTACAATTGAAAATGTGGCTGTTTCATACTGTTTCTGTCAGTGAAATGGTGTATATGTGCTATCAGAAACTGACTAGTATACTTAACTTAAGTGCGTTAATTATTACAGTAAATGTGAAGGCATTTGTGACAATTTGATCTAGCCTGTAAAACAGCATGCCTGTTTTAACATAGTTGTTTGAGAATTAATATTATTATTACTACTAATATGCATGTAGTATGAGGATAAAGTCCTATACTCTATCCGATGTTGATTGGGTGTTTAGTCGCTAAAGCGTACAGGTAAGCAAACGCGTTGACTGGAACGTGAGATGGTAGTCTCATGCGTACTTCAAGGGCCAGCTATCTCATACAAAGTCAAGGGAGGCGTGACCTGTCGATCTGGACGTGAGACCGGGGTTACATCCGTAGATAGTGCAGATGACGCGTGCTGTTGATTGCGGCGTGAGAATGAGGTTTCTGATGTATGTAGCATGGAATCTGAAAGAGACATTGAGATCCCTCTAGTGCGTTGGGCGGGTCTAGCTTTGAATCTCGGTTTATCATGCAGGGTACTGTCATAGATAGGTGCTGGTTTGAGACGATCATTGCTGACAGTGCCCATCAACCCTGAAGGTCTTTACGTGACAAAAGGTCACGCGAAAAGATCCTTCGTAATGCTGTTGCAAAGGTTTGCGTACCGAATTTCCTCGAACGAATACATATAGACAGGTCAACAACTTTCGATGGACACAGTGTTCGCATGTATGCCGATAGTCGTTGGACGTGATCTGATATACATAGAGTCGCTACAACTTGGTGATAAAAATTGTTCAGGCAAAAGCAATGTCTTGCCATATAGAAGTTCATAGGCGAAATGTTTCTGCTCTGTAATCACCGTATGGACTCCAGCTAGTGCCATCTTTTTTTCGAACTGAATGGAGAGGCGAGGCTCAAGTACTGTGATAAAGACAAAGATATACGCATAATTCACGCTTAGAGGAAACTAAATTGTTCAGTGCCAGTCAGCGAGGTTTAGCCGTGACTGGGCTCTGCGGGTGACGATGTGGCTTACCACTTCAATAATCACCGACAGAATTCATCGAACATAACATGAAATAGATAATAATGCAAAATATACACATCTACTGGAGCGTTAAAACCCATGGATTGATATTCGGCGAAGTATCGATTAATTGCAGCCTGAGTGAGTCAAGTAGCGATTCATAGGGCTGTAGGGAAGCGATAATGAGTACGGCTATGGGAACATCAGCAAGGATGAACGCCCATAAGTACTGTATTCACTTATTCAGGTTGATCGTTAGCTGCGATGTACCGTAGGTAGGAATGACAGAGGCATTCGCAGCCTCAGATTTGCTGCCACCAGAAGATACAAAAGAAATGTAGGCACATTTGGCCATCAAGTACCTAGCGTTGGTGAAAATATCGTGCATGTAAAATAAACCAGCAACCTGAAGTGACCAGGAGGATAAAGGTGAAAACGCAATGTATTGTATCAAGTGCTGTCCAATGGATCCCCCCCCCCAAACAAATTCACTACTGATCTCAGAAAATCGACCATGAAACCTTCTGTGCACCTTCCCCATTTGTACTCTACAATTGAAAATGTGGCTGTTTCATACTGTTTCTGTCAGTGAAATGGTGTATATGTGCTATCAGAAACTGACTAGTATACTTAACTTAAGTGCGTTAATTAAAACAGTAAATGTGAAGGCATTTGTGACAATTTGATCTAGCCTGTAAAACAGCATGCCTGTTTTAACATAGTTGTTTGAGAATTAATATTATTATTACTACTAATATGCATGTAGTATGAGGATAAAGTCCTATACTCTATCCGATGTTGATTGGGTGTTTAGTCGCTAAAGCGTACAGGTAAGCAAACGCGTTGACTGGAACGTGAGATGGTAGTCTCATGCGTACTTCAAGGGCCAGCTATCTCATACAAAGTCAAGGGAGGCGTGACCTGTCGATCTGGACGTGAGACCGGGGTTACATCCGTAGATAGTGCAGATGACGCGTGCTGTTGATTGCGGCGTGAGAATGAGGTTTCTGATGTATGTAGCATGGAATCTGAAAGAGACATTGAGATCCCTCTAGTGCGTTGGGCGGGTCTAGCTTTGAATCTCGGTTTATCATGCAGGGTACTGTCATAGATAGGTGCTGGTTTGAGACGATCATTGCTGACAGTGCCCATCAACCCTGAAGGTCTTTACGTGACAAAAGGTCACGCGAAAAGATCCTTCGTAATGCTGTTGCAAAGGTTTGCGTACCGAATTTCCTCGAACGAATACATATAGACAGGTCAACAACTTTCGATGGACACAGTGTTCGCATGTATGCCGATAGTCGTTGGACGTGATCTGATATACATAGAGTCGCTACAACTTGGTGATAAAAATTGTTCAGGCAAAAGCAATGTCTTGCCATATAGAAGTTCGATATTCGGCGAAGTATCGATTAATTGCAGCCTGAGTGAGTCAAGTAGCGATTCATAGGGCTGTAGGGAAGCGATAATGAGTACGGCTATGGGAACATCAGCAAGGATGAACGCCCATAAGTACTGTATTCACTTATTCAGGTTGATCGTTAGCTGCGATGTACCGTAGGTAGGAATGACAGAGGCATTCGCAGCCTCAGATTTGCTGCCACCAGAAGATACAAAAGAAATGTAGGCACATTTGGCCATCAAGTACCTAGCGTTGGTGAAAATATCGTGCATGTAAAATAAACCAGCAACCTGAAGTGACCAGGAGGATAAAGGTGAAAACGCAATGTATTGTATCAAGTGCTGTCCAATGGATCCCCCCCCCCCAACAAATTCACTACTGATCTCAGAAAATCGACCATGAAACCTTCTGTGCACCTTCCCCATTTGTACTCTACAATTGAAAATGTGGCTGTTTCATACTGTTTCTGTCAGTGAAATGGTGTATATGTGCTATCAGAAACTGACTAGTATACTTAACTTAAGTGCGTTAATTAAAACAGTAAATGTGAAGGCATTTGTGACAATTTGATCTAGCCTGTAAAACAGCATGCCTGTTTTAACATAGTTGTTTGAGAATTAATATTATTATTACTACTAATATGCATGTAGTATGAGGATAAAGTCCTATACTCTATCCGATGTTGATTGGGTGTTTAGTCGCTAAAGCGTACAGGTAAGCAAACGCGTTGACTGGAACGTGAGATGGTAGTCTCATGCGTACTTCAAGGGCCAGCTATCTCATACAAAGTCAAGGGAGGCGTGACCTGTCGATCTGGACGTGAGACCGGGGTTACATCCGTAGATAGTGCAGATGACGCGTGCTGTTGATTGCGGCGTGAGAATGAGGTTTCTGATGTATGTAGCATGGAATCTGAAAGAGACATTGAGATCCCTCTAGTGCGTTGGGCGGGTCTAGCTTTGAATCTCGGTTTATCATGCAGGGTACTGTCATAGATAGGTGCTGGTTTGAGACGATCATTGCTGACAGTGCCCATCAACCCTGAAGGTCTTTACGTGACAAAAGGTCACGCGAAAAGATCCTTCGTAATGCTGTTGCAAAGGTTTGCGTACCGAATTTCCTCGAACGAATACATATAGACAGGTCAACAACTTTCGATGGACACAGTGTTCGCATGTATGCCGATAGTCGTTGGACGTGATCTGATATACATAGAGTCGCTACAACTTGGTGATAAAAATTGTTCAGGCAAAAGCAATGTCTTGCCATATAGAAGTTCGATATTCGGCGAAGTATCGATTAATTGCAGCCTGAGTGAGTCAAGTAGCGAT